GAAATTTTGCACCCTGTTAAGGCATTAGAGATAGAAGGTCTTGTGTCCAATGTTAAGGTACATGAAGTTACATCACGTAAAGGCAATGGAAAAAAATCATCAATAGGCATTAACAGGGAAAGCGAGAAGGTTGTCATGCATGAATTTTTGATAAATCCCTCCACTTACTATACAAAAGGTAAATTTGAAGGATGAGTTAGTGTGTAAAACAAAAACCAGGAATCTATTTAGAAGGCTAATTATAGTAGTCCCCAAGAAAAGTAATGAAAGTCCAAGCTAAAAAAGTAGTAAAGATGATCAGGCTAGGAAACAAATCATGAAATATTCTTGATTTTCGATTAATAATACTTACTGAACAATTGAGTGTGACAGTGGAAAACAGGGAGAATCAAAGCGTAATTGTCAAATTTCTAACTTGGGTGAGACCCCTGAAGCTGAGATTATTGGAGGAGCATATTTAGATAATTATTTTAATTTTGTGCTTATTGATATTAAAGCATTCAAAGTATAACCAGATAGACATGTCTATAAGAAAATTGGATATCTGCGTATAAAACTCAGAGCAGAGTTCTAAACTGAAAATTTAGATTTGTAGATTTCAGAATCATCTGCCTCTAAGTGGCAGCTAAACCATGAAAGGAAGTGAGACCAAGCAGGACATTTTGGAAGAGTTGTGTTCTGGGAGAACATTAAAATTAAGAAGAGAATTCACAAACTAGACAGAAAAGGAACAAGGAGGATAAAGGAGAACCAAATGGAATATGGCGGCACAAAGTGATAATAATAAAAGTGTCGAGTGCAGAAGTTTAGTAAGTTATGATCTGGAAAATGTCCACTGGACTTAAGAGGAAGGAAGACTGCAGTAGGCTTTAGGAGGGAATTAGAAATGAAGAATGGGGAATAGTCTGTATAATTTTTAAAAGGATGATAACAAGAGAGCTATATGAGATCAATGGAAGAAAATTTTGAACATGTTTCTAACCTTCAAAGAAGAAACTCTAAAAAATAGGTAGAAGATATTTATGGTAAAGGTGGAAAGAGATGGATTAAAATCTCCAAGGGCAGATGAAGAGTCAGAGTCAAGGAAAAGGTGGAAGATTGGCTTGGAACAGAAGGAACACCATGTCTTATACAACTGGAAAAAAGGAGATGAGTCACAGATTATGGATAAAGAAAATCTGCTGGTAGGGCTTGGGAAGGAAAAGTCAGAGGTCAGGAGGGGGCTAACAGACTGAAGAAATTGAGAATTCAAAGACTTTGAGTCTCTAATAGTTTAAAGGACAGGAACCTGATGAGTGACTTAATAGGACTAGAAAAAAATAGGAAGTTATGATAGGAATAATTAAGATACAGCCTCACCGAATTTAAGACTGTAGAAATGGCATAGTCCATTCTGGGTGGTTAAAAGTTCAGGGAGTAGCTACAGTAATGGGAGGTTGAAGTGAAATGACTCTCAAATTTCTAACTTGGATGACTGTGGGGTGTGATCCCTGAAGCTGAGGAAGATGTTATTGGAGGAGCACGTTTAGGTAATTAATTTAATTTTGTACTGATTGATGTTGAAGCATTCAAGGCATATCCAGATAGATCTGTCTATAAGAAAATTGGATATCTGAGTATAAAACTGAGAGCAGAGTTCTAAATGAAAATAGACAAAGTTCTTTAGAAGCAAACAAGACAAGAAATCATGAGTTCAGAATTTCTTCATGGATACCACACATGGACTCATGATGGTGCTGAACTTGAGGTGGACAATGGGGACTGTTTCAGAGTCCCCAGTGACCAAGAGCTAGGGCAAATGTGTTGGTGAAAGATAGCAATGGCCATGATCTCAAAGGCTAGGGAATTTTACTTGAGGATAAAGGAGTACTGGTTGAAAAATTATGTGAGAAATGAGAAGAATATCGAGTTCATTCCCAGTTCAAGCTGGAAGAATGCCAGTCTGGATGATGAAGCATATAGGCACCCTAGCTGAAGGGGAAATGGATTTGTAGGAAACACCTAAGTTTCAACCAAGGAAGGTGATGGCAAAAGTGTTTTGTGTCTAGGGCTAGGATTTAAGGAGAAGGAAAATGAGATGTTCTGGGGGAATGCAAAGTGGCTCCTCAAGTCTCTTTATAACTGACTGTACAATACTGCCCACCTTTCTTTGGGCTGTGGAAATTCTCCTCAATACTATGCCATACCATTCTGTGCTCACTGTTCTCACCTCAAAGGCCTCGACTAATCTCTCTACTTACATCTAAATCTTTCAAGGCGCAGTGTGAATTCTACCTATGTTATGAAGCATTTTCTGATAATAACAGCCTTTCTGGCCATTTCTATTCTATGAACCACTATGCACTTTTTGGATATGTCAATGTGGGGTACATCATTATATGCTGCTCATGAATCACCGTGTTGGCTTTGCTCTTCTGAATAGCTTGCAAGCTCTTTGAGAGCATGATCAGTGTGGTGGCTATTTATTGTTTTGGCTTCCCTTTACTGCTCCATCCTCATTTCTTTGGAGGAAATGCCTCTTGGGAATTTTAGCTGCATGTCAAAATTTTAGTTGCAGGTCAAAATTACTAGTTAAAATATTCCACCCCATCTCTCTAATCACAGAAATAACTCAATGACCAAGGCTGGACCAAATATAATACCGATACCCAGTAGTCATGGTGATTTGTCCATAAGATGACTAATAAGAGTTCATCTCCAGGATTTTCCAAATGGGAGCTGAAAGAGAAGGGGAAATATTCTATGTTTTTGGTTCTCAAGCCATCAGGATGGGACTTCCTAGCTGATGGCAGATATGCTCCATGATGGTTAATTTTATGGTCAGCTTGACGGGCCATGGAGCATACATATATTGGGCCAAATATCATTTTGGATGTTTCTGTGAGGGTGTTTGGGGATAAGATTAACATTTAAATCAATAGACTGAATAAAACAGATTGACCTCCACATGTGAGTGGGCCTCATCCAATGAATCTTTAAGTCCTGAATAAAACAAAAAGGCTGACCCTCTCTCAAATAAGAGAGAATTCTTCCTGCCTAATTGCCTTTCTATGTGGAGAATGGCTTTTCCCCCCGCCTTTGGACTCAAACTGAAACATCAGCTCCTTCTAGGCCCTGAGTCTCTTGGCTTTTTGAATGGAGCTACCCCATCAGCTCTCCTGGCTCTTGGGCCTTCAAACTCAGACTGAAACTAAGCCATCTTCTCTCCTTGGTCTGTACCTTGCTAGCTCTCCCTGCGTATCTTGGGACTTGCAAGCCTCCATTCTCCTGTGAGCCAATTCCTTATAATACATAAATAAATACACAAATATATAAATAAAAGTAGAGAGTGACACTGACATCTAGAGATAAGAAGAAGAGAGAATCAGAGATATTACTGTAGTCAAGTCTGTCATTTTTATTTCATCTCTGATGTTCCCAGATCATGGCTATAATTTTGCTTCCTTCAATTTGGTGAGCTAGCGCAGAATCTTTCACTGAATTCCCTTTGGTGTTTCAACTAGCTTGAGTTTTGTGTCTGATTTGTGTAACCAAAAGAATCCTGACTGAAACAACCTGTGTTTGATATTAATATTTCTCTATTTTTTTAAGACTTAGGACTATACATAGCACATGGCTGATTAAAAAACAAAAAACCTTGTTGATTGATTGGTTGGTATTGGAATTAGATTACTCCTTTGCTCAGTTTGGTTCCTGCTAAACTCCTGTCCTTCCCAACATTTAATTCTGAGCTCTATATTGAAGAAAATTTATCCAGACTGTGCCTACGAGACATTCCAACTCTGAGAAAACAGGGCCACTGGCAATAAATACCCTAAATTTACAAAGAATAAAACAGATTAGACTAACTAGAAATTTTTTGGCTAAAATAATCAAGATTATATTAGCCAAAGGGAATGTGGTAGGTGATTATTTGATCTTATATTTTTATAGTGAACATAATAAAGTGCTGGATACAGCATCATGTGAAATCTTGATAGCTAAATTAATTTAAATTGGCCGAATATGTAGATCTTAAGTATCTGAATACAGCAAACATGGGGTAAATATAATAGAGGAAAGTATGTATCAGGTTGGAATGTGCAGCCTGGCTAACCAGATAATGAGGGGTCAGTTTAACTCTGTTTCATTGGACCATCTTTTACTAATTGCATCTGAAGGGGTAAGCGGTGTGTTAATGAAAGCATTGGCAAGAACATTAATAAATTAAACAAAGAACTTAAAAAGATATGAGAGATACACTGACAAAATAAAAGTTAGAACATTAAATAGGAAAATATTCCTTAGATCACTTAGATCCCAAATGCTTAATTACAAAGAAAAGAAAAGTGACTAAGTAAGGTAAAGTTGAATTTTAAAAAGATGCTAGAAATTAGTACTTTGGAAAGCAAGGTGATGTGATGGCCCAGAAAGCAAATATGGATAGAATACTGTGCATTCAGCCTCACCATTTTTTAAAAAAAAGATGAAAATACATATCTAATCTTAGAGTGGGAAGGACTTTTAAAACAAAATCAAAAGAAAAATTCATAAAGATTTATCAATGTAATAGCTACATATCATTAAGATCTGTTGTAAGACACAACAAAATGTAACAGTGATAATAATGATTTGTAAAAAGCTTTTCAAATACCCCAAAATAATATCCATAATCCAATAGAAAATGAATGAATTACATGACTAAGAATACTCAAAAGACAAAAAGTAAATCATCAATAGCATATAAAATATTTTAAATTATTATTTAAAAAAATATAGTAATTTTGACCTTAAGAATCAACAGGTCTAGAAATCATATACTCTTATTTGCTGCTGGTAGAAACAGTAGTAAAAGCTAACATTCCTGGAGTACTTACAATGTCACTTTTAGGCACAAGAATTTGGAGGATAGGATGAGAGGAGTATATTAAATTAGAAAAGACTAGTCTGCTATGACAGAGAGATCCAACACTTTTAGTGGATGATGAAAACAAATTTGTTTGTTTGCTTTTTTCACGTAGGAGTCCTGGTCAGGTGTTCATGTTGGTGAAACAGCTTTTATCTGGTCATCCAAGAAGGCAGGTTCCTGTCATCTTTTTGTTCCACCGTCTCCATGTACACTGTCACCATCTGTGTCCAGCCAGTGGGAGAGCCACCATGTGGAGCAGAATGAGTGAAAAGTTCTGTGAGCCATTCTTGAAAGTGGCACACATAATTTCTGCTTACACCCCATTGGAGAGGGGGCAGTCACCTGGCTGCTCCAAGTGCAAGGAAGCCTGGGAAATGTGGTCCAGCTACCTGTTCAAAGGAGAGTGCAGCATTGGGCACTTAGCTCACAGTCTTCGCCACAAAAACTGAGGATCAAGGTTCTGAGCTGCAATGGAAACTATTCACTGCAGCTCATAAAGTGATCAATCTCAGAAGTAAATTAACAAACTTAAATTTATTAACTCTGGAGGGGCTTTTTTGCAACATTCCCATAATCCTTGTAACATCTCTTTTAGATAAGTATTAATGTTTCCATGAGGAAAATAAATGTCTGAAAGCCTTCAAAAATATCTTTAAGTCAGATAGCAAATGGTGAAGTTGTACTCAGGTCTGTTTCTACAGCCAACTTCTTCATTTTTCAGATTATACCACAATGGGTAGAATGATCCCTCAAAGACTCTAGCTGTTCCGTCTTGTTCTATGATAACCACATATAATCCTTCACTAACTTTATACTCAGTCACTTTCAAGTCAAAATTTAGTAAGAACTTGCTATTTTCTGGGCTCTGAACTACTCAAATTAGTGTGCATTATTTCTTTCAATCCCTGCAACCACCCCTTGAGAAAAACATTTGTATTTCCTGCTTTGCGTAAACTTGGCAAAAGTCACACAAGGAGTAGGTAGGAGTTCCAGATTGCAAGGGCCAGGCTTCCCACCATTCAACACCACGCGGCGCCGACTCTTGTAAACCCACTTTCCCAATAGGGCTTTATGGGGACAGACTATGTACTAGGAGATTCTTTAGCAGATGACCTCGTATGAGCTACCTCTACTCTCAATGAGCTACCAAGTTGTTGGGGGAGGCAAAACACATATGTCCCCATGTGCACACTCAGTATGCACACACAGAAGCAGTGTGTCAGCTGAAGATGATGGCAAGAGTACCAACAGTCTGGACTTCAGAAACAGCCAAAATGAAAGCATATTGGAGACTTAAGGGCAGCTTTTTGGAGTCAGGAGGATTTGAAATGCATGGATTGAGAGAGATAAGGGAGACAAGGAGAGAGGAAACAGGACAGAGGTCATCCAAAGTGTAAGAACAACAGAGGAGGCCAGCCAGGGAATCTGGTCATTGTCAGGGTTGGTTCCATGCATACAAGTCCCATGGAATGCTATTTGGCCAATAATGTTGGTTAAAACAAGCAAGCGAATATGCAAAAGTGCTTCACAAATACAGGTTAAGGAAGTCTTTGGCTCTATTATTTTCCCTTCTAGTGTGAATGAACTGAATCCTAACTTAAAGTCTCTTCTTAAGGGGTTCAATTCTTGGTTTGAAATAGCTTCCCCTCCCCCCTTTTTATGAATGTGCAAATGTTATAATGCAAAGGTGAACTGAAAAGCTCTTTGTCTTCAGAGACTGAAATATATTGCCCTAATATTAGTTGGTGATATTGCTCTTGCAACAGCTGTTTTCTTATTAATATATGTGCAGTTTACTTTGTTTAGCCAGGCTTATACCAAGAGATCTTACTGGAAGGTAGAGTAGAGACCTCAGGGAGAAGGGAAGAGAATTTCTTGGCTCCAAAAATCTTATTTTAATGTGTAGCCAAGTTGCCTTCTATCGCCAAAATGACAGGAATACGATTTTAAGAAAAACTGTAACAGCCCTTTAGAAGTGGTATATGGAGGGAGGTACTTTTTTCTTTTCTACAAAAATGATTCTAAAAACTCCCCTTGACTAAGAAGATCATGGCTTTAGGGGGAAATGTCTCATGAGGTATTGACATTTTTAAAGTGTAAGACAGCCTAGTTTAAATCAGGTATTTATTGGATCCTTAGTAAGCGTAGGTTCTGTTTTAAGTACCTACGGTGCAGCTCACCTTTGGTTCCAAAAATATCAACCCCAAACTGGAAGATACCTTTCCTGTTGTTGGGGTAAAACTGCCCTCTTATATTCTATTCCAAGCATTGATTCATTTAATAAATACTCTTCTCCAACTATAAGCCAGGCACTTTTCTAGGTGTCAAGAATATAGCAGCAAAGCAAACAAGACAAAGCAATGAACAATCTAGAATATATTACGTACATTTTGTAAAGCAAAATCCCTCAAGATGATGGGGTGAGGGGATAGAGGGGGTGCTATTTAGAGTGGAATCCCTCTATCCAAGGGAATCTTCTAGGATAATGTGAAATTTGAGTAGAAGCCACCTGAATGAAGTGAGCATGCAAGTCCTGTGGCTATTTGGGGGGATGTCATTTTAGGCAAAACTAAGAATAAGTTCGGAGGGCCTAAGGGAGGAACAGACTTGCAATGTTTGAAGAACAACAAAGAAAGCAATGTGGCTGGCAAACCATGACTAAGGAGCAAGTGAGTCAGAGAGAAAACAAGCAACTGGGTAAATGTGGGTCAATTTTATTCTGGGTAATGTTGAAAACAGAGTTTTTTGAACAGAGAAGTGTACTGTCTGACTTACTTTATAAAAGGTAGTGCAGGGAGACACTTAGGACGCTATGCTGACAATCTAGGAAAGAAAAGATGGTAGCCTGGACCCCTGGACCCCTGGGTGTAGGGGAGGATAAGAGTGCGGTAGATGTGGTGAAAAGGTGAGTTTCTGGATATATTTGGACATAAAACTGATGGGATTTTTTTGATTGATTGCATTTAGGGTATAAGGAAAAAATACAAATCAAAGATGAATCCAAGTTTTGGGACCTCAGGAAATGAAAAGTGGAGTTGTACTATTTGATCCAGGAATCCTACTACTGGGTATTTACCCAAAGGAAAAATAGACATTCTATAAACACACACATACACACACACACACACACACACACACACACACACATCTGCACTCTAATGTTTATAGCAGCACAATTCACAATTGCAAAGATGTGGAATCAACACAAGTGCCTATCAATACATAAATGGATTAATAAAATGTGGTATATGTATACCATGGAATATTACTCAGCCATAAACAAAATGGTGAACTACCTCTTATAGTAACCTGGATGGAACTGGAGATCATTCTTCTAAGTGAAGTATCACAAGAGTGGAAAAATAAACACCACATGTACTCACCATTAAACTGATACTAATCAATCAACACTTATGTGCACATATGGAAGTAAAATTTATCAGGCATCGGGCAGGTGGGAGGAGAAAGGGGGCGATGGGTATAGTCACACTTAACGGGTGCGGTAGCTTGTAGCTTTGACTCAGGTGGTGCAAAGGCAATTCACGTGAGCAAAGCGTTTATGACCCCATAATCTTCTGAAATTTTAAAAAAGGGAGAGTTGTAATTTAATAAGCTGAGTTGCAATTTAATGTTTGGGGTGGAACTCTGTCTTACATGTGAAGTTTGAGATGCTGCTTAGGTAGACAAGTGAAAAGATGACGGGATGAGTGTGTGGCTGGATATTGGAGTCAAGTTCACCTAGGGAGTGAGGGCAGAATAAAGAAAGGAGGAATTCTGACAAAGGGGCTCTAAGGCATCCCATTGCTAGACGTTGGGAATATAAAAAATAATCGAGCCATGGAGACGGAAAAATAGCAGTCAGCTAGATAGGAGAAAAACCAAGAGAGAAAAGTGTCCTGGAGGCCAAGTGGATAAATTATTTTAGTGAGGAAGGATTGAGAAGTGAGCGAACAGCAACGGTGGCTCCAAGAGCAGATATAAAGAGAGGAGACGTCCCAGATTTGACAGCCCATGACTCGGTTACTTGCTCTGGGTTCTGACTGCTTAACAGGAGTTGGAAGGAAAGTTGCTTGGTGTGGGGGGCTCCTCCCCAGCCTTATTCCTGCTCTCACTAAATGCAGCATCTCTTGCTCTATCTCACGTTGACACCTTCTAGTTTCTAATTATTTCCAACTAAAGAAGAATACTAAGCAAGCATTTAAAAAGAATAGATGATTACACATCTTCACTTAATTGAGGCTTTCTTCCTACATCATCATCATTATTATATAGTCATTGTTGGCGTGTTCATTATCTAATCATTTTCTCTAGGGTCTATACGTGCCGCCGAACTAAGATCTTTGCATACACACTCTGTTTTAGTCTTGGCAACAATCTGAGAGTCAGGTATTTTTGTTTCTGTTTTAACATATGAGAAAACTGAGACAGGTAGGTAAAGTGCCTGCTTGTAAATGACAGAGCTAGGAGCCCGGGATGTCTGACTCCATGTTCCTAATCACTGCCCTGCTTCTGATTCAGTGGCTTTTGTGTGCTTGGTTTTCCCTCAGTAAAAGAAATTTTTATTTCATTTAAAGAAAAATAAATACCAAGCACTTCAATAATTTGAGAAAAAGTTTTTGTAAATATTCTACAAACCCTCACCCTATCCATCTCTCGAAGCAGTATTTTGTCTAATTCTCAAATTTTTAAACTCCTTCTTTAGATGTTAGCATTCGATACGACCTCCACTTCCATCTCCACCCCAAGAATTTCTCTCGTGCTTGTCAAAGTACAAGGGTTTTTTTCGTTTTGTTTTTGGTGGAGGGTGGGGATGGGAGATAAAACACATCTATAGTTTTCATTACACACGGACAGACAGTACTTCATTGTTTATATCCTTCTCTGAAGTCAGGCTCTCAAGTACTTTTGTCTATACACTATTGTAAAGCTAAATTATACTTATTTTGCAAATATATGAAAGAGAGAAGTTGATCTCCATCCATTACTTTTGAATCTCTAAAAATGTTAGAGTTTACCATTTCTACTCTTGTTAAATTATTATATTTATAGAATATTTATGCATTTATCTATTTGGTCAATATTGTTATTTTCTCCTATATCACATTTATAGTACAAATACTCTTACCAGAGATTTTATCTCATAGATTTGAGATTCAGTGTTCCATTTTTGATGGTAGAAAATCAAAAAGAGATTTGTGCTTCTTCTAAACCAATGGAACTGGGCTAAACTCCATTTACCTCTTTACAAGATATCCATTTCACTTCTCAGCATAATAAAAACCATAATAATATTTTGGTAGCCATGGAAATTGTACCTCACCATTTTTTTTTGATTAATGCATGTTTTTTGTTCTAGTTGTAGAATTTTATCTCATCATAAAACTTTCATTAATATTCCAATGACTTTTTCAGAGACTATTCCTCAAAAACCAACAGGAACATGTTAATAACTTGATGGGGGTTTGAGCTCCACTGAGCTTCTCATCATTTCCAACAGCTCAACAAAAGTAAATTTAGAGCTGTCATCTTAGAATTTCCTTTTCTACATATCAAAAACTAAATTTT